CCCTAATTCGGGGAATGCTCATAGTTCTCTTATTTTTATTCTGTTCAATTAATAATCAAGAAGTTGCTTTGGTATTCAGACTGCGGATGTAAAATTCATTTGTCTGCGAGGTCTCTTTTTAATTTCTGTTTTTCTGGAAATTCAACGAAACTTGTGAATTCAGACATATTTGAAGCACACTTTACACAAAGAGACGTTATTCGAGATTTCATTTCCGAGGCATTGTATGGAATACTTTTTATATCGATAACAAATTACGGTGCAATTAAAATTCACGTATTACGATCTGCATTCCATTTCCGTTGGAAACGTTATAGCCAATTAATATATGTAATTTCGGACAAATGGAGAATTTGAAAAACACTGATAGAACGTTGAGTCATGATATCGGCATCAGCGACGATTTCAACAGCTTTATAGAGAGAGATACGAGGGTGGATGCGCTCGTAAACTCTTTTATCGCGATCGTAGCTGATACGCTTCGCAAATTCTATCTCACTTTGCGGATGCTTTGGTCTAAGGATTCCGCAAGCACCCCTCTACTCGAATTCATACGATATTTTTATACAATACGAACAAATACGTTTCGTTGACTAGTTCCTTCACACTCGAACTGTTCAAAGTATCATACATCTTCAAACGTTATACATTGACACGAATATAGTTCGAAACACCAATGAAAGATTCGAGAATTCGCCAATTGTCCATGTTGTTTCAGTTTCTGCCGCAATAAAAAACTGTTAAATGTAACTCAATTCGTAAATACAATTAATAAACAGGAAACTTAATCTTCGGATCGATCTAGAAGCAAAGAATATCATTTCCAATATGTTTTCAAACAAGTCTAGCGCGTTTCGATCACCTTCCATACAACGAACGTCTCCGTGATGCGGCTCGTCGCGTGCATTAAAAACCGGCCGAACAAAAGAATCACCGAACACCGTTTGAACGACGCAACGCATTGTCGCTGACAAAGCCTGTCGCGATCATCGAGGGAAGAAGTCCGCGAACCGACGTGCCAAGAAACGTTTTTCTACGAATGAAAAATCTCGCAGTCGAGAACATCACATGCGCGCGATCGAGCGCGATGACCACAGTACATTCATTATTAAGCCTGTGACAGTCAACTATTGTCCGTTTGGCCGCAGTATCGAGCTACCGTGTCCAAATCCACTGGAAATCGAGAAGCAGTCCTCAAGCCCGAAGCATCTACCGGCGATGCGCGAGACCGCGCCTTTTCAATCCCGCGATGGCGTCCGTCGCCGCCTCTCGCTCCTCGTTTCTCCTTTACGGCCATCCCTGGAACTCGGTCAAGGGCTCTGGTTTAGGCTCGAGACTGGGCAACTGATAGGGTCAGTTTTGCTGTCACAAGCCACCCTCGGGTCAATGTTGAGCCGCGAATTTCATGCGCTTCTGCTTCTGTCGCTGGTTGCAGAACCAGACCCTGACAACGTTCTTCTTGAGGTCTAGCTTCTCCGCGATCGCGGCTATCTTCTCGCCGGACGGCCGCGGTTGTACAGCGAAATACGCTTCTAAAGAGCGTTTCTCGGGCGCGGCTATGCTCGTCCGCTTCCTTTTCTTTTCACCGGCGGGCAACACCGACGGAGCGTCCGGGTCTCGTCTTTTGTTCTTCGCCTGGGCCTCAGCCTCTTCTAGCCATGCTTGGAGGATAGGCTTCAAGGCGATCATGTTGTTGTGTGATAACGTCAGCGACTCGAACCGACATATTGTCGACTGCGAGAGTGCTCCGACCCCGGGAAGCTTCAAATTCGCCAAAGCTTTCCCAACGTCGGCTTGCGTTACGCCGAGTTTAATGCGTCTCTGTTTGAATCTCTCGGCGAACGCTTCCAGCTCCCGGGGGTCTGTGTCTGCGTCCGGGTGCAGACCAGCCGCAGCGGCTGCCGCCGCGGCCGCCGCCATCGCTGGGTGATGGTGAGCTGGATGAGGCACGCTGCCGCCTCCGCCGCCCAGGTTTCCGTGATGGTGATGGTGACCCATCATTCCGTTCATGCCGCCGTACACGGATGGCCCGTGGATCCCGGCGTGATGGCCCGGACCGCCGCCCGTGTTCTCTGACATCGGTGTTAACGTGGTCATCGAATTCGCTGGGTCTAGCATGTCGAGACTCTCCATTCCCGGGTGACTCATCTGGAAAATAGATTTTACAGACTTTTAATTCGCGCTGTGCTCCGGGGACTTTTTTTATTGTTGTTGGATTGAATTGTGTATCTTAACGCATTGCTGACCGGTCACGAGTTAACTCGTGTTTGCACTTGCATTAGTTATTTCAATTTTTGAAACGCAGGGTAATATAGAATATTACAAGAGCAAAATATTCGAAGTTGTAAAAGATACGTTGAAAATTTTATTTCAATTCATTAGGTACGAATAAAGTGTATTGATGCTTATTTCGATTGATTCACTTTCATATTTAATTACGGAATAATAACCAGTGATATGGGATAACTGATGTGTGAAATTGTCGGTCAACAATGCGTTAACATCTTTTTGCTTGTTTTTACGTTTTAGCTCTGCTAAAGTTAGCTAAGCTACTGCCACTCGACTGTAGTTTAGAGATATTCGTAAAAATACTCTTATCTCTAGAATTAGAAACTTCTGGCAGTATTATTGTAAATAATGCAAACCTTAGACGATCGAATTTGTAATGAAGGTTTAGTATTATCAGTTTAATCATTGTAAATTGTATTGCCTGAGAATTGTTTTATTCTTATACGTGCTGTCATCGAGGCTTACGGTTCACATTTATATTTCTAGATAATTGGTATAAGCATTAGAGGTATGATGTATAACGTACTACAATAATATCTGATTGTAGAAAATCATATAAATGCTTAATTTACTGCAAATACCATAAAAATTAAAACTGACTGTATATTTCAAACCTATTAAAATTTGTTGATGGCACCCTTTTCTGCATAATTACCGACAGTTTAGATTAGCACTTATGAAACTCTTGATCGTAATTATCGAACACGTAAAGATCCGATCGTTTAAAAAGTGATATTTTTTTCCATTATGTGAAACTGTTTTTACTTGAATTTAAACATTGAAGTTGTTAGTTTCTATGAGTTATTAATTCTATTTTTTAATTTAGTCTGTTCTCAATTGTGAATGTTTACAAGAAAAGTGTAATTAATTTGTCTTTTTTTATTTGCCTATTTGTGCCTTGTACTGTCCATTTTATGACTTTTGTCCATTTTTGAATATTATGTAATTATAATAATTACAAATGATAATAATCAGCAATCACTTATTCATTTTATTCACTATATATAATATATATAATTATAATTGTTTAGTCATTTAGTTCCCATTAAAAGTAACAGTATTTCTATTGAAATGATTAAAAACTTTCATTTTTTGTCGTATTTAATATTAATGAAATCTAGTCTGTTCATTCAATTATTAAATACACAAATTATGTAATCTTTTCTAAATCCCACTACTCATAATTTAAATTCTAAGAACCATTTTTCCACGTCATTAAATATATCTCAAATCTAATAATTTAATGCATATAATAAATAATAAAACAGTGCAAGACGAATATAACTTTTAAACAATAATGGATTAGCAGAATTTTTATAGCGAATTTCATATTTTTACACAGAAGATTAATATTACCGCGTAATCCTTCAAATACTTTCATGATGTTTATATTACTATATATTTCGAAAATAAATAGAGATAGGTATCATTAAACTCTGTAAAATTTAAATAATGCCCTAGTATGATTTCCTTTATTATTAATAGAAGTAACTTTTGTTTGTAATAGTGAGAAAGACGAATATAGTTTCACAAATTACAGATTTTAGTTACATTCGCCAAATATACGTTTTGAAAGAGATAATATAATCTTTTAATTCCAAAATATAATAACTAGACTGCGGGTATTTGTAATTTATAAGCACAGATCAAGCGTATCGGTTATTCTTATTACGATATTACTAATTGGTAAAGAATTATCAATCAATCATTCTAAAACTATCAGCCAACATTATTAAAGTAAGTGGATAAATGTTACGGAAGGAATAATAATAAGGGATGAAGACCATCTACTACACACATACATACAAACGCACAATTATGGAGCACGTGCCGTGTTTGTCACTCTGAGCAGAGCGTACGCGACCCCTTACAAATTATTTATGAGGTGTCTTCATATTTTTCCTCCTATACAGTGACGCAATGGAAAGCGTCGCTCGTATGATTCTTTAAAGATTTTATAATATCCGCTCTGCAATTTTCGTATTAAGTGTATAAGTAAATAAATGTGTTGCTTCATTACACTGTCAAACATGTATCCTGTATTTCAATAATGAACAAACGATTTTTGCAGTATGTTTAACACTGAACATACCCTGACCGATCAAATAACCGGTTCTCAAATTTCATTAAGAATTCTGCACTTTCCTTTGTCCACTCAACTTTATATCAGTTCTTCTATCGCTCGATTAATTAAGTTTTTAAATGCTTGTCTTTCTTTTCGATTCTCTTTTCACTAAGGAAAACTTATCGTTTAATTCGTTTACATTCATTTTATAACCATTTTACCGGTTATAGTAAGAATAGGTGTATACAAAGTGTCGGTATATTTAGTGTTAAATATAATTTTGAAACCCGTCTTTTTCTATCTTGAATTTTTGAGACACCGTTTTTTCAAACGAGAAAATCGAATTTTTAATTTTAAACATTGTTTATGCATTAAATATATAAACGTGTCGTGTAGGTAACGTAAATACTATAGACTCTACCAAATGCATACAATGATCTATGTTTTTACAGTATTATAATTATTTCAACATGTTTAAATAATGTTTAGAACAAGCGGGGCACTTGTCACGTATTAAATCGTATATTTTTCAGTTTATTGTGAAAGCTAAGGATTCGAGACAAAATCTAACCGTATACATCGTGTGATAGAGCAGGTGTATTTTGTGGGGAAAACGTCAGGGAAAGCTAGAACATAGATTTTATTTTCGATTGAGAAAGTAAAATATTTCCGCGGGACACGAGGTACCGGCAGTGATCCTCATCGCCAACGATAGTATAACGATCCCCTGAGTATAATGCGATCAGTTTATGCACACAATTTTATCAGTTAATTCTTTTCTGATATTTATTGTGAAATTCTTTTGAAAGCTCAGGATAATGAAGAGAAAAGTTTTTCAGGTTAGTATTTAACGTGTATGAACCTAAAGGAATCATGTACTGAATATTAAGATATATAAAAATTATAATTTGTTAAACTATGTTATTGCCCTGTGAGAGAACTTCCTATTTTCAAATATATTATATTTGTAATCGTGAAAAATAATTATTTATTAAAATATAAAGGTTTCTATAAGCAGTATTAAGGATTTTTTAAAATTTATAGTAGATTACATAAAATGGTGGGGTTCAAAGCGGAGTCATTCTTAAATAGAAATATATTCGAAAAATACCTGATAATAATAATTATATAGGTATTATAAGCGAAACAAGAAATTTAATTTTATTAATTACTGAATTCAATACAAAGAATTTTTAATTTATTGTATATTTATAATTAATATAATTTAATTAAAATATTTAGATGTTGTATAATTTTATAAAGCCAATCTATCATTTCTTCAAAAATAATCATTTTTAGCTAGAAAGTTATGCTTAATTGTCTGAAGAACTGTAATTTTAAGAATTTTATTAACGATGTTTAAATACGTTTCCTGAACGCTTCTGAATGTTATATAATAATAAAATATCCTGTAATATTCTGAAAAATTATGTCACTCTATATTCTACATTTTTAGAATATCTGTCAATTTCGAAACATTTGGGATACCATATTTGTTACGGAATTCTTATATCTCTGTTGTCGAGATACCTTCGCGGCCCAGTTTGCAGAACTGATTAATTAAGATTTAATGAAAGCCTTCTATCATGTTTATGACAGTTCTCTTGCATAATTTCAAGGCACTCCCAATATCAAAGCTTGACTCGTCTTTCCACTAATGAAAAATCGCATGCTGACATGTAACAAACAAAGTACTCCCAGCTTTGCGAGCCATTCTCGCGGAAATGAAGCAGAAAACAGTGAATTATGGAGATCATTTACTTTTTTATACTGCCATAGACTTGCTGCGTCTATAAACACGATTCGGTCATCAGCTTGACAAATTCCCGGAACGGATAATTCGAAAAGTCGTCCAACTGTCCTGGACATTTCTAAACCGCGAAGGCCACCTACTTCTTCCCCTAATATTAGGAACAACATATTGCAGTCAATAATACTACCAGTTACCTAATACCTACTAATCGCAAATTAACCTGCTAACGGTGGAATTTACTTACAAAAATCTCTCGTTCTGCGCGGAATAAAATAAAAAAATGAAGCGTTTACTCGTCAAACCAAAGCGAACCAAAGAATTACACGTTCATCTGGAAAACCGAAAAATTCATCGTTGAAAGAACGAATATCGTTTCAAGTTTCAAGACGCGGCGTATGCTCGTCAAGCACAGTTAACCGATGAATTACAAAAATGTCACATTCTTCTCCATTTCAATGAGACCAACGATCCGCCCCAAGAGAAATAAAGAAATTCATCTTTCGAACAATCGAAAGACAAATCGATGTTCGGCAGTCGACTGAAGGAACTCCGCGTACTTGGCAATCTCAATAAACGGTCCCAAGAAAAAGTAGCAAATTCATTTGATGCATAAATAATTAGAACACGGGGAGATAAACGCGAGCTACCCCAGTGTCCGAATATTTTCGTTGCTCCCGCTGTACGTGCACGGAGACGTTGATGTACGCAACATTTATTCTCACGGGAATATGCAGCACGGCGAGCTAACTGGATGGCACGGTTTCAGTCTGGGGGGTGCTACGGAATACTATAGTTATATCAGAAATACTGAGGGTTGTGGGTGGCGGCTAGCGGCGCAGAAAGAGGAAGAAGGAACGCTAGGTTGGAAGAGGACGCCGGCAAATATAGAGTGAACGAGGGACTAGCTCAGGGGTGTGTACGGTAGGGCCCCAGAGACCTCCGCAATATTTCATCATTAT